CTGTGGGAACAACTAGCGATGACCATTCTCTTTATGCATCAGTAAGGCCTTTTTGGTTGCAGATAAAAGAAAAATACCATAAATAAACTCAAAACCTAACAGGTATGATGACTCATAATAATAATAATAACAACAACAAATAATGATATCAACAACTAAATAATCCCCATGTTCTGCAGGCTCAGTGTGATCCAGATGTCTAACTGTCACTGCTGATACCAGGCCTTGAGGCTTTCTGCTCTGCCTTTTGCAAATATCATCTTCAGTGTCTACTCTGGCCCTTCTCTCCTATCTCTAGCTACCCTACCATCCTCTCCCTCCTGGCATCAAGATGGCTGTGACAGTTCCAGACCTCACAACTCCATGCTGGACTGTGTAGAAATAGAGAGAAGAGCCCAGTGACCCCTTCACCTTTTGCAGTATGTCCTCTCATGGTGGGGGTAAGCTGCACTATTTAGATCAGAGTCTGCTTCCCTTGCCTTCATGTTATTCCCACTTGGAAGAACAGCTGCTCGTTAGATCCCCCTTTGCATCCATCATCTCTCTTGATACCCCCACAAAAGCCTCTGAAGTAGTTGTGTAGCTTATTTCCACTTCATTAATGAGGAAAGCAAAGCTCAGAGACTGTAGACACTTTGTCCACAGTCACACAGCCAACCTACGGCAGAAGTGGGAATACTCAGCAGATCCAAGAGCTCAAGGAGGCCTGTGAGTATTCTAGAGCTTGAGATCTCCTGTGCCCACCTCTTGGGAGATGGGGGGAGTCACCCAACCCTCCCCCCCACACACACACACTGCTATTCCACTTCCTGATGTGCTTCAGATCCTCTGCTCACAGGAAAGTACGGTCCACATATCTCAAGCTTTACACTGAGTCGCTCAAAAGATTCCTGCTCCCACCTCTAGGTTCCTCTGGACCCTCTTCTCCCCACTACCTCCAGCCGTTTCCATGGAAACGGCTAGGCTCCTGTATCTCTTTTATCCTCCTTTCTGGGAAGCAAGAACAACTCTCTGGCACCCCAGGAGTCAGGCCTGACCAAGATAAAGACCAAAGAGGCAATCTTTGAGAGAAACATTTGCAGCAAAAAGAAGGTTCCAGGTTGAGCTTCCCGAGTTTTCTGTGATGTTCAAAATAACACCAGGTGCGGGGGGCGGGGTGGGAAAGGGGGTTCTGACCATTACCATAGCCCAGCAGAGACTGGCTGCAAAGTTGTCATCCAATCTCTAGTTTAATCTCCACATTTCACAATTGTCAAGTCAATCACCCTTCTTGGGGAGGAGTTTGGGGGGGTGGTCCTAGGATGGACAGACAATACTTAGTAGAATCCCAGCTCAGCTGGGCACCAATGACTTGTAATCTTAAACTATTCAAGAGGCTGAGATCTGAGGATCGAGACTTAAAGCCAGCCAGGATAGGAAAATCCGTGGGACTCTTTATCTCCCATTAACCACCAATAAGCCAGAAGTGGAGCTGTAGCTCAAGTGGCAGAGTGAGAGAGAAATTGTGAAGGTGGCAATCTTTGGGAATTAAGATGAGGTCTTGAGAGTGGGACCTCCATGGTGGAATCAGTGTCTTCAGAAGAACAGGATGGCTCCTGAGAGAGCGACCTTGCTCTGCATTGCTATTCAGCCATGTGGAGGCCACACGAATCCCCCCCTCCACCACCAGATAGGATTGACATGTTCCTGAACTCAACTCCCAGAACCTCTATTTCTTACAGATTACCTGGTCTAGGTATTTTGTTGCAGCAACAGAAAAAAAGGGCTTAGATTGCAGGAGGGGGTCAGAAGGCTCTGCCTCATTGACTGCTTTCCCCTCCACTCCTCCTCCTCTGTACTCCCCTTTCCTGGGAGCCACAGCATCTCTAAGGGCTGCAGAAGATGGTGGTCAGTCCATCTTTCTTCTAGAAAGCTCTAAACCAGAAACAATCCTGGATTTCCACATCCTGCCTGACCCATTGGTGCTGAGATCACAGCACCTTCGTGCAGACTCCCTAGCACCTGGAGGGGTTTGCTGGCTTCATAGAGAGGCTGGAAAGAAAGCCCTCCCTGAACCAGACTTGCCCTTCCATTCTCTGTGCCAGAGATGGAGCTGAAAGTGCCACCTTCAGAACATCAATAAAGCTTTTCCCACCAAGCGGTGTTAATTACAGTTCCTATCTTTTCATGAAGCACCCGATATTCTTGCGAGCTAACCTCTTGACTACAATTACTTTGGGTCCTTCCACTAACTTTGTAACACTAGTATTACTGCCTCTGTTGTTACAACAATTCAAAGAGATTAAATAGTTTGTTCAAGGCCCCGTGGCAACCAGTTAAGTGGTCTTAAAACCTCAGCTGTCTGATCTGGGTACTTGTTACTCCTAAACATGGCTGCTTCTGCAGGACTCAACCTGGGGATCAACGGGAACGACCTAGGGCTGTTCTAGTGCGGTTTGAAGGTCACCATGGACATCCTGCTGTCACATCTTTCCCTGGTCCTCGGCAGCTCGGGGTGGAAGAAAGCAGACCTTTAAAGGCCTTTGGACTTCACAGAGCGCTGAGTGAGTTTTCCCACCACAGATATGAACATGAGAAGGGTCAGGAGCTGAATCAGGGAAAACGTGATGGCTGGTGTCAGGACTGGCAGGGTCGAGCCCAGGCCCTGAGGAGCTGTGTAACACAGAAGTCCGGGAACCTGTGTTCTGGAGACAGTATATGTCTCAATCTATCCCCTGAACCTCACTTTGCACTAGCTCCCCCAGATCCAAACTGTCACATTTAGCATCCTTCCCCTAGTGATAGTTTGGATCTAGAATGTTCCCCCAATGGCATGTGTTGAAGGCTTGGTCCCCAAAGCTTCCATACTCAGAAGTGGGGCTTCTGGGAAGTGATTGAGTCCTGGAAGCCCTGATCTCACAGTGGATTCATCTATGGATAGTCTTGGCCCCACCCCATCCCCAAACCTCTCTGCTCTCCAGGCAGCAGGAGGTGAGCAGCTCTAAACAGCTTTGCTTTACCCTGCACTTCTTATCACACTCTGAAAACAACAGAGCCACGTAACCACAGCCTGAAAACTCTCCCTAAGATACTGAGGACTGAACTCAGGGCCTGTCACTTGCTAGGCAAGCACTTTACCACTTGAGCCAAGCCTCTAGCCCTCCTAAGGTTGGTTTTCTCATGTTTATTATCACAAGTCAACATACTGACCAAAGAATTTTTTTTTTGCCAAACTCACTAGAGATCACTGGCCCCACAAATGACAAGTGAGAGCATAAACTGATTTGCTCCTCAGAACAACTCTTAAAAGTTAAACACCCACAACCCCATTTTGCAGAAGATAACTCTTAAGACAAGGACAGGTTAGACAATCCACCAGAGGCCACACAGATTACTTTGTGATTCAGACTGGAGCAATCTGACTCTAGATAGCCTAGTCTTAAAACTCCTGCCTCCCTAGAGGCAAGCAAGGGAGGCCTGGTCATTTCTCAGCACTGGTAGCAAGTGAGGCCAGAGCTCATGGACACCTCGAAAACTAGCTTGATCTGACTTCTCTCCAAACTCCTTTACCCTGGGGCAAAACCTGAGTGGCTTTGGAGGCTGGACTCTGCATTAGTCTCTTCAAGGCTCTCTATGGGTTAGCTTTCCTTTTCCATATCCCGCTGGATTCCCCCTCTCCTCTAGCGACCTGCTTTTGATTCTCACTTACCTCCTTCCCTTTCGCTCTCCCTTGGAAGGCAGCTCAGCTAAAGCTCATTAGCACGTGTTAATGAGCCACCGATTCATGTCCCTCCATGGTGGGGAGAGGAGATGGGAGAAAGGAGGGCTGCAGCTGTGACTCGAGGGCGGAGGTGTCCAAAGACCAGCACAGACCAGAGAGGCAGACCATTCAGGCAAGTGGGAAGGAACATACACCCCACAGCCTGGCGTGTCTTATCTGCTGTCCTCAGGATGTGCGGTCATTAACAGCTTTGGTTTGTCTGGGACCAGCTCCGGGCATCCTAGTTCACAGGTGGATGTTTTCCATCGGCTGGTAGAGGCAAAAGCTCCCCAGGTCCCTAGGTGGATGTGGCTAACTCTGGCTACTGCAGGGTTTAGTTCTGCCATGACACCTGGAAAGCTGTCCAGAGGCTCCTGGAGCATGTCCAGTCAGTCAAAGTCATCAGAGGGTAGAAGAAGGTGCTCCGCATGACAGTATACCACCACTCAGGAACAAGGGGACACCCCTTCTCCTCTTCCTCTTCCTTCTGAATCCTCTCTGGAATTTGCTGATCACAGCCATCCCTTGGCTTCTGTGCAAGTCTGGATCCCCTTTAAGGGACCAAGATGGCCTGAAAAGTGTTGGTGGTTCAAATCCCAGCTTTGCCCATTTGTATTTGCTGGACAGACGCTTTTTAAGGCTTTTTTAAGGGGGTGGGGGTCGGTTGTGGGGCTCGAACCCTGGGCCTGGGTGCTGTCCCTCAGCTCTTCAGCTCAAGGCTAGCGCTCTACCACTTGAGCCACAGCGCCACTGCCAAACGCGTTGATCATTTTCAAGTCTCAAGATGTTCATCGAAAAGTCGCCCCTGGCTCTTCCTGGCGGTATGAGCGACACCGAGTGAACCCCAAGTCTGGGAGCCGAGTGTTTGTCCTACGTGACTATTGTACTGGTGGTGTTACCGCTTGTATTGCTACAGCTGGCAATGGAAGCGGCTAGACTCAAGGTGGACCCAGAGGAGGGGGACTGACAGCTTCTCCCTCTTTCCAAGTAGTCCCTGACCACGGTGGAGGAAGCGGTGCGAGGTGGGGGGGCGTCTCAGCGCAACCTGAGCACCCCAAGAACCCTTGGCCAGCCCTGGCCCGCCGGGCCTCCCGCCCCCGCCGCGCCCCGCCCCTGCGCGATTCCCGGGGCCCGCGCGCCCCCTGCCGGCGGCCGGGCGCAGCGCAGCTCGCCACCGCATATAAAGGCAGCGTGGCGCGCGCGGCCCCAGCGCGAGCGCCAGAGCTGAGCCTGGGTGACAGCGCCCGCTGCCTCCGGTCTCCCAGCGGCTCGCCATGGCTGGCCCGCAGCAGCAGCCCCCTTACCTGCACCTGGCCGAGCTGACGGCGTCTCAGTTCCTGGAAATCTGGAAGCACTTTGATGCAGACGGTCAGTAAAGCTTCCCAACTTCTGGGTCCTCCCCCCTCACCCCACCCCATGAGGTCCCTAGGAGACCTGGGGCGGAGAGGCAGGGGGGTACGGGGGGGCAGTGTGGGATGGGGTCCCTTTGCCCACCAGGAGCGGGTATTTCGGGACGCAGAGCCTGCTCGGCTTGGGGTTCTGAGTTTGGGGAGACATCCGGCTGCTTTGATGACAACTCAGTAACTTTTCTTCCCCGGTATAGGGTGCCATAGCCCACCCGCCTTTGCGTCCTCATTCTGGGCCGGGTGGACTTTGCCAGGAGGGGGCCTGGCAGGAAAAAGACCCCTCGTGGCTCCCCTTGCTCCTCCTCCTCCTCCCCCCCCCCAACACACACACCTTTCTCTTCAAGAATTACTTGAAGAGAAAGGTACCTTAGGTTGACGCATGCAAGGTGGCTGCTGCAGCCACAGGTGTTAGAAGCCCACTCGTGTCTGCCCTCTTGTTCCCCCATTCTGGGGTGCCACCATAACTCCTAGCCTATTCTGGAAGCTGGGGCAAGCAGGAGATCTCGAAGGAAAACCCTTGGCCTCTCCACCTCGGTTGGCCAGGAGCAGGAATGAAGACTGGCATTTGGGAGTCCTAACACTCCCGGGGCTCATCTACTTGCCAACCCCACGGGCGACCACAGGAGCAGTGGGTGTGGAGGGAGCCCTGGGGTGCCAGTTCCCAACCTGTTCCTTCATAGTGATGATCCTGAGTGCTTTGGGGGCGGGAGAGCTCCTTTCCTGGATGGGAGAAGGGGGAAGCTACATGGGTCTATGTCTTTGCTTTGGGTGGTCTGGACATGGACAGCCGCCAAAAAAAAAATCAAGGCTAGACTGAAAAGCCTTTGGAAGTAGCTTCCAGAGCTGAGAAACCCGGGGAATCGGTGGCAGTCTGATTCAGGCACAAAGAAACTCCCTTCATCCCTTTTCTCAGAAAGGTTGCTGAATTGCTGTAGACTTTTTCCATTACATTCTCTCCCACCCCAAAAATAATAATAATAAGTGATCTGATTTCCCCCTCCAAGGTCCTGATTAAAGTGGACACCTCCTGTCTCTTGACAGGGTGATGGCTCAGGGTGTTTATCCTGGGGTGAAAAGCCTGAAGGATGGCAAACAGAAATGCTCAGGTGACAGCTGGTTCAAGATCTGCTCTTCCCTCTTCCCAGTCCCATCTTAGGGGGTGTGGAGAGGGCTAGACAGACATCCTCTGCCCCGAGTGCTGTGGAGAGACAAGGGTTAATGTCTAGGGATGGTCATGGGTGAAGTTGTGTTTCTTTGGGGATAGCTGAGAAAACTGGAGGGGCAGAGATGGGTCTCTAGACATCCAGGGGTAGGATCATGGTGTGTCTATGAGTTACAGTCTATCAAGGAGGTGGGTAGGTGGTTCAGACCAAACAATGGGGGTAAGAATGGATTGTATTTCCAAGCCTCAGCTCATGTTGCCCAAGTCCCTTGGCAGAAAGGGCTCTATGAGGATGGCGTTCCCTAAGGATGCGCCTGCCAGTTTATCTGCACCAGAGACTTGCATGATTCAAGGAAAGTTACCAAGCGGCCAAGGTTAAAGCGCTGGCCTCCTGCTAGATGAGTCAGCTATAAACACACAACTCCAATTCAACTTTCCCCCCACCCCTCCTAGACTCACAAGGGACAAGCAATAACTCTCTGGATAATCATGCACACTTTTCAAAATAGTCACACCATCTGAGAGGCTGGGAGGTAGAGTCCCCCCTGAACCGATGAGGAGAAAGACACAAAGCGAGTTAGTGGTGGGACTGACCAGTGCTAAGCCTGCACTCAAATTTCTAGGCACCTGCTGAGGTCACAAGAAGGGATTTCATTGATTTATTTATTTTAGGTTGACACATACAAGTCTCCCTCCCCTCTGCCTATAGAACAGCTCCCAACCCAGCCTTACAGCTGACAGAGAGTTCCTTTTCCTGGGTGTGTACAGGCCCTGGGGCTTGAACTCAGGGCCTGGACACTATCCCTGAGCATATTTTTGCTCAAGACTAGCACTCTACCACTTGGGTCGCAGCTCCATTTTCCACATTTTGGTGGTAAATGGAGATAAGAGTCTCATGGCCTTTCCTGCCTGGGCTGGCTTTGAACCATGATCCTCAGATCTCATAGCCTCCTGAGTACCTAGGATTACAGGCATGAGACACCAGTAGTTTCTTTTATGCCCACAAGGGATCCTGAGCTTGGCTGGAGCATAGCTAAGCTACCATGGGATTTGAAGGACCACTCACTCCTGCTCCTAGGTAAAAGGGGACCTCAACTCACTTCTGGCTTAATTGACCTCTTGGGACATAGCCTCAAAAGAGTCCCACCCTGGATCTAAGGAGAAGGAAGGCAAAGGGAACTAAAATGTCAGAGAAGAGCCAAGTGCCAGTGGCTCACGCCTGTAATCCTAGCTACTCAGGAGACCAAGATCTGAGAATTGCAGTTTGAAGCCAAGCCTGGGCAGAAAAGTCCACTAGACTCTTTATCTCCAATAAACTACCAAAAAGCTGAAAGTGGAGCTGTGGTAGAATGCTAGCCATGAGCAAATAAAGCTCAGGGGCAACACCCAGGCCCCGAGTTCAAGCCCCAAGACCTGCACATACCAAAAATAAAAAAGTGAGAGATGAAAGAAAAATGATCTAGAAAATGGATACTCAGCCAAACTACACTGTTAAAGAGTCTGGAGTGCATGTGAGATGGAGGGGGGGACCTTCATTTCCCCCCTCCCAGCCCTCCCCTCCTAAACATCTCAGGGGTGCCCTTGAGCCCAATGCCTCGCCACCTAAGTCAGCTGGCCTGGCTCCATCTGGACCTCTCTCTCACCAGCTCTGGCTCCTGTTAGCAGCTCAGGCTTTCTTCCCAACTCCAAAGCGCCTTGCTCACCGCCTTAAAGACCGCTGGGGGGAGTCTCCTCCACAGCTCACCAGGTCCCTGGAGTGAGCTACAGAACCCAGTATTAACCAGGCCACCAGCAGGAGGGAGCTGCCACCCTGCCCTCCTGTATTCTCTTAGTAAACAAAGACAAGGAGACCAGAGGGAAAAGGCTGGACCGCAGCAAGAGGTGAGGTCCTTACTCAGCTCATTACCAAGGAAGAGGAGACGCCATCTTAGTGCCTTTGCCCAGAGGTTGTTGTCAAGAGTCACACTTGCCTTGTGAGGGAGAAAAGGAAGAGCAGGGGTTGGAGAGTGAAGAATTAGGACTCAGAGAGGCCATCTTCTTTTCAGAAGATCACACAGTGAAGCAGGAGGGGCTCAGGGACCAGGTCTCCCAACTCTTCCCCATTGGCCACTCTGGGCAGGAACTGGGAGGGTTTTGGAGTTGTCACTCAAAGGCTACACCATGGGTCAGGAATGTAGCAGCTGAGCTATCCTATGGATGGATGGTGGTTGGGACTCCTCCACACATCACCTCCCTCCTCTGAATGACAATGTCTCCAGCCATTGCTCAACTGTTTCCTGGTTATCTTTTTGTCAGGAACTTGTTTATGTGTGCCAGTTACCCAGGCTTGAACTCAAGGCATGGGTGCTGCCCCTTACATTTGTTTTTTTCTTTCTCTCTCAAGGCTGGTACTTTACCATTGTGAGCCACACCTCCACTTTGGGCTTTTTTGGTAGCTCATTAGAGATAAGAATCTCCTGGGCTTTCCTGCCCAGGCTGGCTTTGAACCATGATTCACAGATCTCAGCCTCCTGTGTAGCTAGGATTACAAACGTGAGCCATTGGCACTTGGCTTGTCAGGAACTTTCTAACTCTGCAAAATCCAGGTGCGGGAGAGGCGCACAGGTCAGAGTTCACTGCCCTCTCCCTACGCAGTACAACAGACATCCCGAGCCACTGGTGGCTTGTGAGAAGCCACGCTGTGGCTCAGAAGAGAAACATTTTAGTTTGGGCAACCCTTTGGGAGCAATAAGAATATAGGGAGAAAAGGAATCTTCTAGGGCTGGGAAGGTGGCTCAGTGGTAGAGCACTTGCCTTGCATGCTCAAGGCCCTGGGTTCGATTCCTCAGCACCACATAAGCAAACAAAAAAAAAAGCCGGAAGTGGCGCTGTGGCTCAAGTGGTAGAGCGCTAGCCTTGAGCTGAAGAGCTGAGGGACAGCGCCCAGGCCAGAGTTCAGGCCCCACGACCGGACCCAAAAAAAAAAAAAAAAAAGGAATCTTCTAGAGGCAAGCAGATGTCCATTGGACTAAATGATGACTCTCACTCCTCCTGAGCTTCTGCTCTACCTGGCTAAACTCTCACCCATGTACAGAAAGTTTTGTGGAGATGTAGGTGAAATACTAAACATTGAATTTGGGAGAGGGTGTGTTCTCTGCGGCGGACTATTATACAATGGCTAAGAAGAAGGTAGAGCTTCCACTGCAGCTGATGTGGAAGGTAAAAATAAAAGGATGTTTTCTTTTACTTTCTAAATGGATTTACTGTAGTGCTTGCAAATTTTACAGGAGCATGTATTATCATGCAGACAACAGAACAATCAAGATGTAAAAAGAAAATGTTTATGGAGATCTTCCCTGTACCCCCCACCATCACCAAAAAAAGAATATACCCTTATTTCTAGGTATAGCCCCCTAACTCTAGGTATAGTCTTTTGTGGGAGATTTGTCCAGCTCCAAAATGGCTCTGGTGTGGTTTTGAGACCTCCCCATCCCTCACAGAAACTGGTCCTTGTTTCTTATACCTGGGTGGACTTCAGTTCTCCTGCAGCTGAGGATATGGAAAGATAACAAGAAGGACCACATAGGGCCGGGAAGGGCTCTGTCCAGTCTCTTCTTCTCCTCCTAAACCCAATGGTTCTCATAGGAGTCTCCAAACCCATTCCTGGCCAGCACTGGGTGCCCAGGGACCTCACTCCCTCCCTGAGTACTAACCACTGCTAACTTTCTGTCCCTGGGGGTAGAGGGTGGGGCTGGGGGGGAGGAGGAGGCAATGGAGAGCAATCGAAGCTCCGCAGAGGTGGGGACAGGCTTAGGTAGCCG